ATGTCCACACAGACTCCTTCTTCCACTTGAAACTGCTGGCTCATAGTTGGAGTGGCCTCCCACGCCTCTGACTCCCTAATGAGCCGAAGCATCCCCAGGAAGCCAGGAGGTCTCCTCTCCAGCCGCATCCTCCTCAGCTTGTTCCAGAGAGTCTCGTTGGGGCGGGCCCGCATCAGCACCTGCCGAGCACGCACCTGGTCTGCCGTGGAGGGTTGGATGGCCCCCTTCTCCATGGCTGCCTGCAGCAGGCCTTCCAGGCGCATCACGTAGGCAAAGAGTGTCTCCTGGGGCCGCTGGGCACAAGTCATGAACTTCAGCCGCGCGGTAGTTCGGGTGTCCTTGTTCCCAAACACCTGAATCAGTGTGGCCAGGCAGTCCTGAGCAGCGATGTCGGGATTTTCATCCAGGAGGCCGCTCACAAGATCCAGTGCAGGGCCATGCAAGCTCTCCACCAGCCTCCTCCTCCTCTCCCTTTCTGATATGTGGCGCCACAGGTACAGCATGTCGTTGGCATGGTCCAGCCAGCTCTCAGAGGACTCCTCATGGCCTGGCTCTTCTATCCCAGAAAAGGCTCTCAGTTCCTGGTAGGCCATAATTTCCAGCACAGGCTTCAGGGCCTGATTCCATTGCTGGATCCAGGATTCTTCCTCAGTTGCAGCTCCTGTCTCATTTGCTGTTCCTGGCTCACCTGTAGCTCCTGTCTTACCTGATGGTCCTTCCTCACCTGGAGCTTCTAACATATCTTCAGGTTCTGCCTCACCTGCTGTTTTTGCCTCACCAGCAGCTCCTGCTCTACCTGTAGCTTGTTCCTCACCTGCAATTCCTGCCACATCTGTAGCTCCTTCCTCACCTGCAGCTCCTGCTTCATCTGCAATTTCCTTCTCACCTGGACCTCCTGCTTCACCAGCAGATCTTGTGACATCTGCAGCTCATGCCACATCTGCAGTTCCCACCTCACCTGCAGGTGCTGCCTCACTTGCAGTGCCTGCCACACATGCAGCTCCTTCCTCACATGGGGCTCCTGGCTCACCTGCAAATCCTGCAACATTCTTGGTTCCTGCCACATCTGGAGTTTCCTCCTCACCTGCAGCTCCTGCCTCACCTGGAGCTCTTGCCTCACCTGCAGCTCCTGCCTCACCTATACCTCCAGAAACACCTGCAGCTTCTTCCTCACCTGGAGTTTCTACCACATGTTCAGCTGCGGCCTCACCTGCAGTTCCTGACACATCTGCAGCTCCCTCCTCACCTGCAGCTCCTGCCTCACCTGCAACTCCCTTCTCACCTGGGGCCCCTGACTCATCTGCAGGTCCTGTCGTATCTGGAGAACTTATCACATTGGGGGTTCCCGTTTCACCTGCAAATCTTGCCTCACCTGGAACTCCTGCCATATCTTCAACTCCTTCCTCACTTGCAGTTGCTGCCACATCTGCAACTCCCTTCTCACCTGGGACTCCTGTCCCACCTGCAGCTTCCTCACCTGCAGCTCCTGCCTCACCTGCCCTGCCAGCCACTGCTTGCTTCTGGGTCTGTGCAGGAAAATTGGGTCTATCCTGTGACTCAGAATCAGGGGCCTGGGGCAGGAAGACCACAGTCCAGGTGCCTTGCTTGCTTGGTATTTGCTGAGGTATCACACTTTGATTTAAATTGTCATCAAACTCTACCAAGGCGACTCTGGACCCAAGCTCCTTTCTGAAGACCTTGCCCAGCACTCGGTACCTGCCCAGGGGCCACAGGGCAGCCTGCACAATATCCTGGAACTCTTGGTACTTACAGTAGTCTGGGATGCCCAGGATGAGCAGGGAGCCCTGCGCATTCACGCCCATCCAACTGCACCAGTCCCGCAGCATCATTGGTGCCATCACCCAGACCAGGGCGGAGCAGTCGAGATTCAAAAAGGATGTGCAGACTGTCGCAGGCTCTGCTGAGGCGGCCTGAGAGTGCAAAGGGGGGAGAGGGACATTGGTGCCACACAGCCCACCCCACCGCCCAGGG